GGCTCGGTCCGCGCCGTGCGCCCTGCGTCGTGCGACCCGGGTCTCCGCGCGCCGCCGCCGCCGCGCCACATCTGGAAGCGTTCAGCGCGTCTGCCTCCAGCGCGCCGGGCGGGCGGGGAGGGCGCGGGCGCGGGCGCGGCGGCGGGCTGGGCTGGAGGCGGTGAGCGCGGCGCTCTCGCGTGCCCGTGTCTCCCTCTCTCTGCCTCTGCAGAAACAGCTCCTGCCAGAACGGCGCTCGGCGCGGAGCGGCCCGGAGCGGCGGAGCCTCTTCCTGCCTCCGCGCCTCCGGAGTTGCGGGAGCTTCTTGACACAGCGGAGCCGAGCCGGGGCCTCGGGTCTGGCCTGAGCAGCGAGACTCTTCTGCCCCTCGGGCCCTCCTGGTCTGGGGTCCATCGCTGCCCTCGCCCCTCCTCTCTGCCTCTTCTCGCGCCGCCTCCCTTGGTTGATTTTTTCAAACGGTGAAGCCGCCAGAGGTGCGGGGCTAAATTCTTGGAAGGGGCCCGGATGTACTGAGGATGCATTACAATTTCACTCAAGGAGGCAGTAGTGGAAAGGAGCAGTTTTTGGTGTTTGATGCAATAATGGGAATCAGGTAATCATCAGAAGGGAAGAAGAAACACCGCAGCTCCACAGCTTCCTTGAATTTTGCACGAAAGCCGCCAGCCTCGGAGGAGGGATTAATCCAGACCCGCTGAGGGTGTTTTGACATTTCTGCCTCTTTGTGGCTTCTTCGCTTTTTAAAACAATTTTTGGTGGATGGTCAATGAAAACACGAGGATGTACATCCCAGAGGAAAACCACCAAGGTAAGGCTGGCCCCACCGCCTGGCCAAGGCCCTGGCGCGGGCTCCGGACCTCCCCGCCCGGCTCCGGCTCGCCGCGGGGGACGGTCCCTGCGGAGTTGCCCGGGTCGCCTCCGCCTCGCCCGAGCGGCGGGACCCAGGCCCACACCCCGCGAGACCGAGCGGAAAATTCCCGCCCCTCCCCCTCTCGTGCCGGCTTCTTCGGCGCATGTGTTTCCTATGAAATTCCAGGCGAGGGGGAAAAGTTCCCCAACTGTCTGCTTCTGCCTCGCTTTTTCACGTTTGCCTGGAAAGCCCAACTGCCCGGTCCGCCGCGCGTAGGGAAAGGGGCGCCGCCGTCCTCCAACCCTGCCGGCTGGGGTCCCTCGCTTCGCTCGGGGCGCGGCAGGGAGCGCGCGCGCGCGCACCCGCACCAAGGCCGGCCCCGCGCCCGGGCCGCCGCCCGGCGTCCCACTGGCTTCTAGGGGCCCCTGCTCTGGGCAGCGCGCTCAGGGAGCCGCGGATGCAGATGTGAGTCTGCGCCTCACCCCCACCGCTCACCTACACCCACCCGCCTCGCCACTGTCATTGACCCCGAGGGTGCCCACGCCCCGTGTGTTGTTATTCGCACCCACATATAGGCTAGCACCTGAGGATGGAAGCGGTAAGAGTCGGGAGGTGTGTGGGCTTTGCTTTTTCATGTCTTAAGGACATAATTAAAAGGTGTGCCCAGCTCACAGGGCTCCACACTGTTGCCCAGTGTTCTCCAAGCATCTCCATCATGGGCATCAAGTGTCACCAGCTCCCCCTGTGAGGGGAGAAAGGCTTTCAAGTAACTCCCCACTTCCTGGAAACTTTCTCCCCCGCCCCCCTTATTAACAAGTTATTATTTTTGGCATCACTCAGCAATTAAGGTCACGGTGGAGCGTAGAGGGGTGGTCTGGCTGCAGGGTGGCAGCCTCCGGCTCTCTCCCTGTCTGTTTTCCAAGGCTTTCTCTGTCTCTTTGGGTGTTGCCGCTCCTTTTTCTCTTCCAGTTTCCCAAGCCTCCCTGTTTACACTCTTCCTTTCCACCTCTTCCTCCCGAATACCTGTCGCTGTTGGTCCTGTTACTTATTGGGGTACTTCAAGTGATCCTCTGAGGACCAGCATGGGGGAGGGGCTGTCTCCATGTTTCTTTTTGCCAGCCTCCTTCTTTCTTTTGCCCCCATTTCCACCATTTGGGGACAGTGCCCCTACCCTTAGAGCAGGGGTGGGGAACGTCGGGCCAGCCTTATAAGGCCCGCGAAATCATTTGGTCTGGCCCTGCCAAGGCTTTAGGAGTGAGTTAATTAAATGTTTGGCCAAATATAGCAGACTAATTTTTAAGTTGATAATTTTGTATGGCCCCTGAATGATGTTATAAATATCCAATGGCCCTTGGCAGAAAAAAAGGTTCCCCATCCCTGCTTTAGAGCCAGAGGCTGCCAGGCACCCTACCTGCCTGGTCTCTATCCATCGTCCATCCCGAAACTGATTTGGGAGCTAATTGTCCCTCTGCTATCGAGTTTGGGTGGCAGTGTGGGGATTTTGGCCTCTTCTGGGAGGAAGAATTTTGTCAAGAGTCATGGGTCCTAGGGTAAGCTGGGGCTTTGGGGTCACAAAGGCAGCTCTGTCCCTTGGTTTCTCTACCCCATGTCCCAACCCCCACCTGTTCCCCTGTCCCTTTCCTAGCTCTTGGAGTAGTGGATGGATTAGGAGGGAGGGAATGGGAGACACAAAGGAAAGGGTGATATTTGTGAAGAGCAGGGGTGGTATTCTCCCCTCCAAGTTCTCAGCTCAGTTTAAGCAGCCTTGGAGAGGAGAGCTCAGTAGTATTGTTCTTACTCACTAACAATGGCAGTGTACTGTGGTAATGATTATTATTCACATAATGATAACCTTAAATAGTTCACAAGTGCTCCTCTTAGTGCAGGATAAACCCCTTCTTAGCCCTTTTTCTTTCTTTTGGCCCTTTGTCCCCCAGCAGCCCCCTCCTCACACACACATGCAGGGAGCAGACATTAAAAGTAGGAGCTGACCCTGGAGAGGTTTGTGCGAAGATGGAGGGGAAGGGAGCGAGCAGGCAGGGCCCGGAGCTCTGCCTTTCCAGCAACATGCCTACGAACACTATGGCAACCTGGATTCCAGTTCTCTCTCTAGAAGCTGCAGTGATTATATAATTCACAGGAGTGATTTTGCCTCCATTCCTGGATGCGGCTTTCAGGTGAAGGAGCACCAGGGTCCCTGTCTCCCTCCATTTCCCACCCCCTCTCTCTGCCTCTTTGGCATGGCCCAGGTGTATTTCGGGGAGAAAGGAGAAGGGTGACAAAGGTGGGGAGAAGCAGACTCGGAAGAGCATGAATATGTACAAGGAAGGGGTTGTTGTGACTTAATAACCAAAGGGGCAATGAAACATAATTGGGGGTTAGAATTTCAGGAGAGAGAGGAGAAACCAAATGATTACCTCAGAGCAGTGATGATGAGGAACCAAAGAAGAGAGAACTGAAAAAGTTGCCAGTGGCGGGGCTCCTCTTCCTGACAGGCTCAAAGGCACTGACCACATCAGCCCTTTCTCTCCCAGCTTCTCTCTCTTTAGTGTGTGTGTGTGTGTGTGTGTGTGTAGAGTTCAGGCATGGAGGTGGTGGTCAGTGCATGGGAACAGCCTGGAAGTTCCCTGAAGGACTGGCTTCTGGCCCTGGGTTTCAGGCTGGAAATGGCTCATGTAGGCCTCACCCCTAGTGCCCTCTCTGCTTGGTCCCACCCTAGCCTTCCACTTTTCTGGGCTGATTTTCCATTTTGGTCTACAGCTAGCAAATGAGTTTCTTAATCGTCAAACATTTAACAAATAAAACATTGGTATGTCCCTTATCTGCTGGAGGCAGGGAAGAGGGGAGAAACATGTTCTGGGAGTGGAAGACACAGTGTGCTTTCTTTTTAACTACTCAGCAACACAGCAGAATAGTAATTATAATAAAGGAATAATAATGATCATAGTTAACTCTCTTTACAAATAAATGGTCAAAGGACAATGTTGCTTGCACCTCAGCTTGTGCAGGTTAAAGAAAGCATGACATTAGCTTCTCTTTCTCTGGATACTGCATGAAGGAAACTGGAGAAAAAGGACGACTGAAGTTCAAAATATTGTTGCTAGTATTGCTCAGATATTTTGCAGCTTATCAGAATACTACATATAAGACTATAAGAATCAGTTCATCATTTCAATAGAGCACATGCTAACAGTGTTCAGTGCATACTGCACACACACACACACACACACAAACACACAAACACAATAGGGAAAAGCTATTGTAAATTACACAAGAGCCTAGTGCACTTTGGGGACCCAGTGTGTTGCAGAAGAATATTGGTATTGCAGTCTCCTAAGACTGGACATTTCTACCTCATATTAAGTGGAGAATTGTTCTCTACAGGTAGATGCTTCTCTGCAGGTATAGTACTCTGCAAATGCAATGGTGACCCAGTAGCCCCTGGAGCCATCTCTGAGTCTTGGTGATGACTTAGGACTCTTCCTTCAGTTTTCTCTTTGAGGTAACTGTCCTAGATGGGTTCTTCTGTGTATAAGGCCTAGACTGAAGGAGTCCAAGGAGCATACTGAATGGGGCTTTTGAGGCCCTTCCCATCTTTTCATCCCCACTTCCTAGTACAGGCCCTGGCTCATTTTAGGCCCTTAATACATGTCTGAATGAATGCTCCCCTGCATGAACCAATGAATGCACACCCAGCAAGACCTAAAGGGGCTGTAGTTTCTGCCTCACCCAGTAGGTGGCGCTCCAGGGCTTAGGAGTCAGCATAGGGGCACTCCTGTTGGGTTTGGTGGGGAAGATGTCAGAAGGGTTTGGAGAGAATTTCCTGTCTGCAGTGCCTCTTTCATCATGCCCATACCTCCCCCGGTACAGAGAACTCCAAAGACCAGTGTGTGTCCCCATGCCACCACACACACATATCAGTATGACTGAGTCCCTTGGTGACTTTGCCACCCTCTGGCCATGAAAACCCACTTTGGATTTCTCTCACTCTATTGCACACTCTTACCTCAGACTTCTGTTTACCTTTAGCACAGACAGCATCCTACAGAGCCTTGAGGGCGCCTTTTGGGTGATTAGCTGAATTTGTTATGGCTGTGTATTAATTTTCTCCCTAATTTACCATGGATGGTTTAATCAGAGGGGCTAGTGGAGCATAAGGCGACCTAAAAATTGGGATCTGGAAACCCTAACCTATAGGGTTATAAAACTTGTCAGCTCAAAGATAAGAAAACATTTCCCTAACTTTATTAAGGAAAAAAACAAAAACAACTGGGTATACTTCACAGCTGATTTCTGTTTATGAGTCTGGCTGGTCTCCTGCTGGGGTAATGGCAGAACAGCTCCGGAGACCTAGCTTAGGAAATAACTGAGATTTGTTCTCATTTTCAGTGATGTTTTCCAACTCCTGGTGTTTTCTTTTCTATCTCTTTCTTCACTTGGCTTTCTTAGTTGTTGTGGCAAGTTCTATGAGGTCTGAGAAACCCCCTGTCACCGTGTTAAGAGAGGCTGACAGCACTTTCTTCCTTTTACAGTAATTCTCCCTGCCTGGTGTTACAGCTGTTTGTTATTTGGTAGTCACAGGTCAGCCAGCGTCCTCCCAACCATTCCTTCCGGGACTCTGGAATCAGTGCTCAGCATTCAAAATCAGGGGACAATTTTATTTCCTAATGTGGACTAAAGAAAGCTGATAGATTGGGAAACACCTGGAGACTTAATGGCGAGACTAATTAGCAAAATAATCACACTGATTTAGTCTGTTTTTAGAGTCCATCCTCATAGTTGCCTAAGTGAATGATGGGCACAGTGGAGGAGAGCAGAAGACTGACAAAAAAGGCACGGGAATGGTTCTGCAAAATATCAGGTGCCAATATTTAGCGACCTGAGTGTTAAACATTCCGATAATGAAACAACACTCCAAGCCATGACTGTCACAATTAAAATAATTTAGTAAATACCTG